TAGGAAGCAGTATAATCTTTGGAGAGACTAGTCACTTAATATTGTGACCTCAGGGGGTTCCTTAGATAAAACAAGTTTTTTTTTTTTTTTCAAAATGTTGCTATGACTCTTGAACAAATCTGAATTTGTCCATTTGCAGTCTGGTTGACCATAGAATGTCATAGAGGTTACTTGGGTGAGGCTTCCCAGTGGAAAGATTAGACACAGGTATATAATATATAATTTATACATTATAAAACCAACATTTCTTGATATTGCTCAATAAAATGTCTTCATGGATTTATCATTAGTATTTCAGAGCCAGATTGGTGTGTTTTTATTTTATTATTTTGAACTTGAACTTACTATTTTGAGATATTGTAGATTCACGTGTAGTTATAAGAAAGAACATCACAGGATTCCACATATCCTTCACCCAGCTAAGCCCCGTAATAACAACTGGTAAAATGAAAGTACAGTATCATAACCAGGATATTGGCAATTTATAGAGTCAGGATTCAGAACAGTTCCATCAAAATGAGGATTCCTTCTGTTGCCCTGGTACAGACACACTCACCTTCACTTTCCCAATCTGTGACCCCTGAAAATGATTGATCTGGTCTGGAATAATTTTATTATTTGAAGAATGGTATATACATGGCATCATGCAGAGTGTAACCTTTTGAGATTAGCTTTTTCCACTCTGTAATTCTCTGGAGCTCCATTCAGGTCATTGTGTATATGAATAGTTTATTTCTTCTTCTTGCCGAGTAGTGCCTGTGGTCGGAATGTACTAGTTATTTAACCATTCACCTACTTGTTGAGGGGCATCTGGGATTTATCCTGTGTCTGGTTATTACACATGAAGCTGCTATAAACATTGATTTATGTGAACATACGTTTTCATTTTCCTGGGATAAATGCCCATGAGTATAATTGTTAGATTGTATGATAATTACATGTTTAGTTTTTTAAGATACTGCTAAACTGTTTTCCAGAGTGGCTGTACCATTTTACATTCTCACCTGAAATGTATGAGTGATCCAATGTCTCTGTATCTTTATTTGATGTTGTCACTGGTGTATAGTGGTATCTCATTGTGGTTTTAATTTGCATTTTCCTAATAGCTAATAATGTTGAATATTTTTTCTTGTGCTTATTTAGGATCTTTATATCCTCTTCAGTGAAATGTCTTCTTGTCTTTTGTCCATTTTCTAATTTTTTTTGTTTACTGTTGAGTTTTGAGCATTCTTTATGACCTAGTCAGATATGTGATTTGCACATATTTTCTCTTGGTCAGTAGCTTGTCTGCTCATCCTCTTCACAGGATCTTTGCAGTACAAAAGTTTTTAATGTTGATGAAATCCAGGTTGTCAGATTTTCCATTATGGTTCATTTTTAGGATATAAAGTATAAAACATATTGGCCTAGTTTCTGAAGATTTCTCCTATCATTTTTAATCATATATTTATGTTTTACATTTATGAGGCCTGGCAAGTTCATGAACTTAGCACCATGTGCTTACATTGACAGCACTGTACAAACAGATCTGTAAGGTTTCATAAACTTGGCGCATCAGTGTCTCACAGTTGTGTTCCTGTTGACGTGTCACACACAGTGTTTTGCTGAGTGGTGTTCGTTGCTGTTTTTGCATGTTTTTGTGCGCTGTCACTAGAATGTTGGAGCATGAATTAGAGCAACGAACAAACATTCATAAATTTTGGCTTAAAGTTGGCAAGAGTGGAAGCGAAATCAGCACATGTTTACTCCAAGTTTATGAGGATAATGCCATGAAGAAAACAGCAGTGTGCAAGTGGATTAAGCATTTTTCTGAGGGGAGAGAAAGCATCACTGATGAAGAGCAGTCAGGGCAGCCAGTAATAACGAGAGCTAAGGAAAACATTGCAGAACTTCATCAAATTGTGCATCAAAATCATTGACTAACTGTGAGGAGCATTGTTAAGTAAACACTGATAGAGAAACAGGAGTATCTTTTTATTAAATTGAGACAGAGTCTCACTTTGTCATCTTTGGTAGAGTGCTATGGCGTTATAGCTCACAGCAACCTCAAACTCTTGGATGCAAGAAATCCTCTTTTTTTGAAGATGTTACTCAAATTTATTTATTTATTTTTCCATTGGGGTCTTTATATTATTTATTTATTTATTAAATCATAGCAGTGTACATTGATGCATTTATGGGTTTCAGTGAACTGATTTGATATACAATGTGAAATGCTTATATTGAAGTAACACATCTATCAGAATTATACTCTTTTTTTAATAGTTTTGAAATGTACCATCAGCCTCCCTAGTAGCTGAGACTACAGGCACCTGCCACATGCCCAGCTATTTGCTTTTTTTTTGTTTGTTTGTTTAACAGGCTCAGGCTGGGTTCAAACCCACTAGCCCTGGAGCATGTGGATGGCACCCTAATTACTGAGCTACGGGCACCTGAAACAGGAATATCTTAACTGAAAATTTTGGCCAATTCATGGCTTTTGCATCTTGACACAATATACCAGATCACACTGTGGTGGAGTTTTTAGCCAGTAAACCAATATCTATATTGGAACAGCTTCACCTGATCTGGTCCCCAGTGACTTTTCTTTTTACCCAAAGATAAAGAAAATATTGAAAGGAAGACATTTTGATGACATTCAGGATGTCAAGAGTAGTATGACAACAGCTTTGATGGCCTTTCCAGAAAAGGAGTTCGAAAATGCTTTGAAGGTGGATAAGGCGCTGCCTGGGTACGTAGTTTCCCAAGGGGAGTACTTAGAAGGTGACCGTAGTGATATTCAGCACTGAGTTACGCTGCATTTTTCTAGGATGCATTCTCAGACTTAGTTGTCAGACCTTGTAAGCCTGTGATTATATAGTGTGACATTTAGGTCGAGGTGCTTTTTGTTTTTTCTTTAACCAATAGATATCCAATTGTACCAGCACTGTTTGTTGAAAAGGCCATCTTTTCTTCCTTGAATTGCTTTTACACCTTTGTCAAAGTCAGTTAGGCATATTTACGTAGGTCTGTTTCTGGGTTCTGGGGTCTATTTTATTAATCTGTGTGTCTTTCCTTCTTCCAGTGCCTTACAAGCTTGATTACTACAGCAATCAGGTAGAATGCTTCCTCCACTTTATTCTTTTTCAGGATGGCTTTAGCTATTCTGTTGCTTTTGCTTTATATAAATTTGAGAATATTCCTTTCTATATCTGTAAAACATCTTGCTGTGAGTTTAAAAGGAATTGTAAGATCCCAATTTAGGGAGAATTGATATCTTTACTATTTTGAGTGTTCCAAACCATAAACATAGTATGTCCTTTCATTTATTTAGGTCTTCTTCTGTTTATTTCATCAGGATTTTGTAGTTTTCAGTTCATGAATCCTGTACATGTTTTATTATGTCTATACCTATGTATTTAATTTTTTTATCATTTGTAATTCCTATTGGGTTTTTTTTTGTATTGTATTTTTAATTTCAGCGTCCATGTGCTCACTGAGAATATAGAGAAATATACCTTATTACAGTTTATTTTCTTTTTTTAGATGCAATCTGGCGCTTTATTCAATAGTCTTAGCTTTTTTTTAATTGTTTATTTTCTATGTGTATCTTAAAACATACAACCTTACTAAACTTATTTGTTCTAGGAGTTTTTGTTATAGGTTTCTTGGGATTTTCTATGTAGACTATTATGTCATCTCAAATAGGAACAGTTTTATTTCTTCCTTCTAATATGTATAATTTTTATTTTCTCTTCTTGAGTTATTGCTGTGGCTAGATATTCCAGAATTATGTTGAATAATATCCTTGCCTTTTCCCCAGGCTTAAGGAAAAAGCACTCAGTCTTTTACTACTAAGTATAATAGAGCTTTAGGTGTTTTTGCAGATGCCCTTTACCACATTGATTTTTCAATTAGTAGAGCCGCAAGTCGACTAAACAATGGAGAAGGGCCTTGATGCCCTTCTGAAGCAGGCATGTGGTCTGTGTGACTAATGGCTTGCCTCGTCAGTGTCCTACCTCAAAATTTTCTTGTAATCTGAATGAAATGTATTAAGACACTTACTGTTTAGAGTAAAGGCATCTGTTTGAATGAAAAACCTCTTAGAAGGATTAGCAATTTATACTACTGTTACTCTTTTGTGGATTAGTTTATCTATTTCTTTTCTCTTTAAGGACAAAAAGCACAGGATGGGTGGAGAGGAAAGAGGCACAGTTTTTTAAGCAGAGAATGCCACAGTTGGGCAGCGGGAGGGTACTGAGTACCTTTTCTAGTGAAAGTATAGGCACACACTCGGAAGAGAATTTGAAGCTTAATTTAACCTTTAAAAATGCTATATCATTTTGATATTCGATAACTGCAATTTTAAAAGTACAAACACTACAGTTGAGAAGTTTGTTTTGTAATTTATTTTCAAATGGTTCTATGTTTGTTTAAAATACTCCATTTGTTAATGCCTCCTCCAAAGTGAATCTTGTAGAAAGCAAAACCCTTTTGTCAAGAATGACAGTATATCATTATTTTACTTTCAAAATGAGAAGATGATATAACACCAAGTTATAAGAAGGAAGCATAAATTATATTTCACAGAAAGCCATATAACTTTTAGTTTCTTCATTTGGGAACATAATTATAGTATTTCATGTTTTCTAAAGTCTCAAAAAAAAAATGCCCTAAGTAATTAGTGCATGCAGACACTAAAGAATTTAAAATGGTTATTACATTTTTTTCTGTTGTAGCTTGCTTGCAGAAATTATTTCCAGTTTAATAGCATTGAAATTTTTGTGCAATGTGTTCATTTAACAGATCGCTTAGTGATTCAGATTGTATTAGGTGAAGTCAAGAGATAGCCCTTGTGGACCTATTGTTTATTTATTTATTTATTAAATCACAGCTGTGTACATTAATGCAGTCATGGGGTACAGTGTGCTGGTTTTATATACCATTTGAAATATTTTGACCAAACTGGTTAACATAGCCTTCATGGCATTTTCTTAGTTATTGTGTTAAGACATTTATATAAAAATATGGAAGGCTTCACAAATTTGTGTGTCATCCTTGTGCAGGGGCTATGCTGATCTTCTCTGTATTGTTCCAATTTTAGTATATCTGCTGCCAAAGTGGGCACTGTGGACCTATTATTTTATAATTTTGTTATCTTGTTTGCTAGATCACAAAGAATATTATACTTCCTCTTTCTTTGCTGAACTTTTAGAAGGCCTATTCTCTAAAATGTATCATTCTCCTATTTCAGCTTTTCCTCCCTTAACTTCTATGATGAAATAACATTCTAATAGCTTTGACAACGTGGAGTTTATACTCTTTCTCTTTTGTGCATTAGGTTACAAATATATTTATCAGGAGTTTTCTCTAGAATAAGGATAGCATACTTTGCCAGAAGGTATAAAATTGTGATTAATAAGCAAAGGTTAAGGATGAAAATATCTTAGAGTAAGAAATATGTGTAAAAGCTGTAATATCTTAGAATAAATTATATACTCAAGATGGGCAAAAAGATTTTAAGAAAATATCCATCTGCTCTAAATTAGTTCTGGTCTCTTGCTTTGAATAAATTATATTTCTGGGAGCTGATCATATCTTTGAATGGGATTGCAGATCCCACTCTTGATTATCTTTGAGGAAATGTAGAAAGTAAGTGGATAAAGTAAAAAAGTCATTCTGTGTACACGTATAAAATGCCCGTAAATTGCAAGCTGTGATCTTTATTTCAATTCTTGACAAGATTTTAGAATATATTATTAAAGGGTGATTTGTGAGGATATATTAGAGAAAACAGTAAGCCTTGGACCAATTTTACGTTCACTAAGAGGTAGCATAGGCCTTGCCATTTCATTTTGTAGAGGGTTACTAGATCCAGAAACTGATTAGGCATAGAATATGTGGACTTTATGAAGGATTTTGACAAAGTTTGAATTAATATTCCTGAAGACAGTATCAATAAACATAGGTTATTTGCAAAGATAATTGGATAGTTTAATGACAAGATGAGGGGTTATACCTGAAATGTACTAAGTAAAGGATTCATATCAACCAAGGTGACATGACATGCTGTGGAGGTCTGTTCTCCATTGTGTCATATTAAACGTTTTAAAATCAATGAGTAAATGGGTGAAATGACTTAAAAGGATCAAATTTGCAAAAACACAGCTTAGAATTTCCTGGATACAAAAGGTAATAGCTAAAGACTTAGCCTAATACAGATAGATAGATAGATAGATAGATAGTCTTTCTCTTTATATTTATAAACACACACACACATGTATGTCTAAGATAATATAGGATACATATTTACCTTTACACTTACAGTTCTGTACTTGGATCTGAAAAGCCAAATCCTCACATAATAGAATGGGAAGTATTGGTTGCAAGGAATAGGTAGCTTAAGGAAGAAGAGGAAACTAATAGAGGAAGGGTGGGCATGGATCCCAAAGGACAATCAGGGCAGCTAGATCTCCAGAAGGACTGAGGTGACTAGAGGTCGTCAGGTAGGAGACAGTGACTGATTCCGTGTTCTCTCTCTCCATAGCCACACCGTCTTTGTCTCAGCTTCCCTCTGTGTGTGTGCTCCTTCTTTCTCAGTGGGCAATGTGGCTTACTGTGTATCTTGCGCATGACCCTTCTCTCTTATGACTGCCAAGAAGGCGACCTAAATGCCTAGATTATCAACATTTATAGGTCTGGTTGCATCATCCTCATTTAGTGCTTGGTGCTTCTGTATCCAATATTCAATTCTAATCAGCCATGACTCAGATAGATAAGGAGAGAATCTTAGGTACCAAACACCGCAGCCAGGGTTCTGGTAAGTGGATTCTTTAAAAGGAGGACATAGGTGAAAAGGAAATGCTTAGTATGTTCAGTACAATAGGACATGAGTTTCACTGCAGTATTTTTTAATATAATATAAAAGCCAGCTACAGTACATAATAGCAGCATGTAATTGCTCACAATACAAAAGACCAATATGGTCTAAGTTTGCATTAGCAGATATTACTAATGAGATAGAATGTGAGAAGTTTGAGTCCTCTCTTCTTTGTTTTAGTGAGACCAACTAAGCTGAATTATTCAATTCTAGGTACCATACTTTGAAACATACTTAACACTGGAACTAGTTCAGAGAAATCTAGAATGAGGAAGAAATTTAGCTGAAGGGATTAGAGGTGTTGACCTAGAGAAGAGAAGATGCGGATTGGTCCTGGTGGCTGCCTCTAAATATTAAAAAGACTTGTGTGTGAAAGAGGCCTGGGGTCGGTCCACATGGTTAGTAGGAAGAATAGGATCAATGGATGTTCCAGGGAGGCAGATTTGGGATGAGCATGAGAAGAAATTTACTAAGAGGCAAAAGTGGCAGAAGATGAAAGTAGTTTAAAAGGTAGTTTCCCACCGTTGGGGATGTTAAAATGGAGGCTAAACAACGTATCTGGGCTGGAATAGACTCAATGAACCCCTCTAGAGCTTGAACGAGATTATCTTTATGATTTTTTCTACACATTGTGCCTTACGAAGCTATAAATTTGATATTAGTGGCAATTAGATTGATGTAGTCATTCATCTATATCCCACGGTATTGTATTAATGGTTTTTAATTTAGAATTTTTAGTATTAAATTTAAATGAGCCAAATTTTACTTTATAAAAATTTGTCATTTCTTCCAGTCAATATTTGTGTAATAGCATTGAGGGGCAGGTATGGTGGCACCCACTCTTAGTTACAGGAGCAGATTTTACAGTCTCAAGGGAGACAGCATTAAGAATGAATGTTCCAACTCAGCACCTGTGGCTCAAGTGGCTAAGGCGCCAGCCACATACACCTAAGGTGGTGGGTTCGAATCCAGCCCGGTCCCGCCAAAACAACAATGATGGCTGCAATCAAAAAATAGCTGGGCATTGTGGTGGGCACCAGTGGTCCCAGCTACTTGGGAAGCTGAGGCAGGAGACTTGCTTGAGCCCAGGAGTTGAAGGTTGCTGTGAGCTATGATGCCACAGCACTCTACCCAAGGGGATAGCTTGAAGCTCTGTCTCACAAAAAAAAAAAAGAATGGATGTTCCTCTCATATCCAAGAGTTGATTTCAATTTAGTGCTGGAGCAAGTATTTTATGAAGCTGTCCCTTATCCTTTGTGAATAAAAAAGCAAGCAGAGTCTTCTTGAGGAATATTTATACATGAGAAAGAAAATAGAATTATCTTTCTTGATTGTGCTGAAATTTCATTTTTCACTGCCCATATACTTGCCTAATTCAAAGAATACTTTCACTGAAGGAAATAAGATTTAGCTGACACATACGTGATAGATAAATATAATACAAATGGTTAAAGGCATAGGTTTTAAATAGACCTGGGTTTTAGTCTAAATTTCTCTGCATATCAGCTGATTATTTAACTTCAGTAGTCTTAGGTTTAAAAAAAAATCTATGGAATGGGTATAACCAGACCTGTTAAGAGAAAAGAATTGATATAGGGAGATTAGGTTCAAAGTACTTTTTCTGTTTATGTTATGACAAAGTGTTACATTCTATAAAAGTCATAAAATGATGAAACTGAACAGGAACTTAGAGTTTGTTTGGTCCAATGCAATAATTTTACAAACGAGGGGAGTAAGATCTGAAAAAGCCAAGAGGCATCTCCAGGATCACAGACAGTTGACAATGAAAGAAGGGCCAGAGATTTCCTCCTACTTCACGGAAAACAAAAATTATAAAGGTGTTTTTACCATTTTAAGTTTTATTGTATGGAAAACATTGTAGGAGTAAATCCTTCTTAAAGATACCATGGAGAAAGAATTACTCCAAAAGACTCTCTTCTAATTCTAAGATTTTGTGTCAGAGACAATATGCCGGTTTTAAAAAATTTTATCAGATGTGGGGAACGTCATAATGATCACTCCATGGTATAGCACACTATATGTTTACTTCAGTTGACCAGCATGGTTCTAATAATATCTTCTGTTGAACTTTATTTTTCAGATTTAAAAATAATCATTTTATTAATAGGAGTATATATTGTTATTTCCTAGATGTCACCTGAAGAAACAGTTTGTAAGTACTGTGGAGTCAGCTATCTAATTCTTCATGAATTTAAAGCAATGGAAGAAAAAGTGAAAGCAATGGAAAAAAAGATGGCGTTTTATCAAGGAAGTGTAGAACGTGAAAAGATACTTCAAGAAAAACTACAGTCTCTCAGCCAAGATTTTGAACAGTACAAAATTGAGAGTGAATCCAAAACAGAAAGGTTGAGTATGTTTTCTTTACTATCATGTATTTAGTTTGAAAGAAAACTGCCGAAAATAGACATTGAATATTTTTCTAGAATTTCTCTATATCAGATATAATCCACCCTTGAATACATTTTTTCATTTGTTCATTTTGTTCATTAACTACATTAATAATTACTAAACATAATTATTAATTTACTATCTAAAGAATTAGAAACCAATTAATTCAGCAACTATAAATTGACATGGATCCAGTTTTTTCCCCAGATATCTTACTTATGAAAGAAAGATTTATGTAATCCAAATCAAGTGAATTTTGGGGTTCTTTTTTTTTTTTTAAGAGATAAGTTCTTACTCTGTTACCCAGGCTGGAATAACGTGGCCTGATGGTAATGATTGTAATTCACAGTAACTTTGAACTCCTGGGCCCAAGCAATCCTTCTGTCTCAGCCTTCCAAAGTGCTGGGATTACAGCTGTGAACTACCATGCCCAGCCTAATTTGGTAGTTCTTGGTACTTAACATTTTTTTTTTTTTCTAAAGACAAGGTCTTGTTCTTCTTGCCCAGACTAGAGTGCAGTGGTGTGATCATAGCTCACTGCGATGTCAAGCTCTTGGGCTCAAGCTATCTTCCTACCTTCTCAAGTAGCTGGGACTACAGGCCATGCCACCACACCTGGCCAATTTTTTTGTAGAGATGGGGTCTTGCTATCATGCTCTGGCAGGTCTCAAACTCCTGGTTTCAAGTGATCCTCCTCTCACCATCCCAAAATGCTAGGATTACAGGCATAAGCTACCATACCACATACCCAGCCACTAACATTTATTTTTAAATGGCCTTGAATTTAGATTTATAGAATAAATCTTTCATGTTTTGAAAAGGATTCCAAGACATTAAAATTAGTGGAGTGAATGTTTTTAAATGATTGAAATAGTAGTAAAATGTAAAGAATGGGTTCCTAAAGCTTTAGGATCTAACCAGCAACTTAGTCTAACTAAAGAGACTTTATCTGTAAGCTTATTCAGGCAGGTTTTGCTGTTATTTTATGGTTTTTCTTTTTTCCTATGAATGAAATTTCTCAATTTAACATATCAACAGTTAATGTTAGTAAGCCTTGAGGTAATGAATTCAATGAATATCATATAAAAAGTTGGAACTTTCTTAAACCTCTTAAAATTACTTTTATTAATTTTTAAAAAAGGTATATATTTATATCATTTGCCAGTTGACTCTGATACTTCTTAGTCCTTTTCCCAGAAAATTTCATTGTCATAGTTTCTTCAGTTTCATCTGAATACTAAAAAAAATTTTATAATTTTTGCCTGGAAAAATTTTAAAATTTGTAGTATTGTTTAAAGTTTCAAATTTTGAAGATGTTTGCCTGTCAGGGATTCTTTTGTTTGGTGTTATTCACCCTTTACTTTCTTTAATAAGATGTTGTATTGTACAAGTAATGAGAAACATGTGAAGTAAAAGAAGTGTATAGAATAAAAGATAAGAAAGTCCCTTTCAACCCTGCTGATCGTCTTCTTACTAACGCCACTTTTAAGAGTTTGGTATACATCTTGCTAGATCTTTCGTTGTGCCTTTACATTTAATATATATATAGGTTTCCTTATACATATATTAAAACTTCCTATATGCAGTTTTATATCTTTATCTTTTAATAGGCTAGTTTTTAACATAAGCAATATGTTAAATATATTGTTCTGTGACTTATGTTTGCCACTTAATTATATATAAATATTTTGGAAATTGTTCCATGTTAGTGCATGTAAATCGACCTTGTTCCTAACTGCACAACAACACCAAAAACAAAATGCTTGTTAGAGTTGTATTTGCAACAAACTAAACATCAAATTTTTTCATGAAAAACAAAACAAAACTGCAGAACGTTTTCCTTACTAAGCATATGCCATAATTTACATAATCATTTTTCTTTTCAACATTTATATTATTTACAATTCTTGTTATTACCTATAATATTTATATGTGTAGTCTTGTGAACATGTTTTTAAATAGGAAAAACTCCCAGAAGTGAAATTGCTAAAAGCAAGTAAACGCCAATTTAAAATTTTGATAATTTATAATAAATTGTCTTTCAACCCAGTATTTTCCCCTCATATATTCAGATGTCTTTTAAATCCCTTAATAAGATTTTATGATTTTCTTACACATTCTATATTAGTTGTATCTCTAGAAATTAGTTGGGGATTGAATCTTTTTCTTCATTGCATTTTCTAAGTTTTCTGAATGCTATTAATTTTTGTATATTGATTTTGATCTAGCATTCTGTATACTGATTTTGATCTAGCTTCCTTATTAAGTTCTTTTATTAGTTGTGTATGCTTTTCACTTGAGTCTCTTCAATATCTACTATGTAGATTCATAATACAGGCTCGGCACCTGTGGCTCAACCGGCTAAGGCGCCAGCCACGTACACCTAAGGTGGCAGGTTCGAATCCCCAGCCCAGACCCGCCAAAACAACAATGACGGCTGCAACCAAAAAATAGCCGGGCGTTGTGGCAGGCGCCTGTAGTCCCAGCTACTTGGGAGGCGGAGGCAGGAGACTCGCTTGAGACCAGGAGTTGGAGGTTGCTGTGAGCTGTAATGCCACGGCACTCTACCCAGGGGGACAGCTTGAGGCTCTGTCTCAAAAAAAAAAAAAAATAAATAAATAAATAAATAAAAATAAAAAATAAAAAAAATAGATTCATAATACACATGTACCTATAAAACTGATACATCATACTCAAACAGAAAATGTCTTATCTTTTTATTCCCAATAGTTATAACTTCCCCCCACCTTATTAAGTTGTATTGGACCTATAGAACAATGTTGAATAGCAAATTTATAGAGTAAATCTTTGTCCTTATTTCTAATTTAATGTGAATTGGTCCAATACGTTAAATAGAATGTTCCCTACAGGTTTCTTTCTTTCTTTTTAAGACAGTCTCAGTTTGTCACCCTGGGCAGAATTGTCACTCTCAGTAGAGTGCCGTGGTGTCATATCTCACAGGAACCTCAAATTCTTGGGCTCAAGTGATTCTCTTGCCTCAGCCTCCCAAGTAGCTGGGACTACAGGTACGCACCACAATGCCTGGCTATTTTTAGAAATGAGATCTCACTCTGGCTCAGGCTGGCAAGGAATGTGTGAGCTCAGGCAATCCACCCACCTTGACTTTCCAGAGTGCTAGGATTACAGGCGTGAGCCACTGCGCCTGGCCATTGCTATAGGTTTCTTAAAGATACTTTTTATCAATTTAAGGAATTCCCCCCTTTTCCCTAGCTCTTTAAAGTCTTTTTTTTCTTAAATCAGAAATTGTTATTGAATTTTAATAAATGCTTTTCCAGCTTCTACTGAGATGATCAGAAGATTTTTCTCCTTTAATCTGTTGAAAAGACTAATAGATTTTATATTATGAGGCTGTAGTTACATATTTGGTAAAAAGCCACTTTGATCATGGTATATATTTTAGGGTTCCTTAAATTTTGTGTATTTGCTTACTGTCTTCATGATTCTTGCCATAGCTTTAAGTACTTTGTACTGGTTTTCTATAAATACTCCCTTAAATGTATGTATTTTAATGAATGTAGTAAGTGAGAAAATATCACTTGCCATCAATAGAAGCATAAAAAGTAAAAATATAATTTTAAGTTGAGTATCATTTATCTAAAATACTTGGGACCAGAAATGTTTTGAATTTTAGGTTTTCTTTGTGTTTTAGAATGTGGCATATGTACTATACATGCCCTTTGAGCATCTCTAATCCAGAATTTGAAATCTGAGATATGCTCTAAGGGTGTTTCCTTAGAGTGTCATATTGTTCCTCAAAAAGTTTTGGATTTTGGAGCATTTCTTTATTAAAATAAAAGTATCTCTGTAATACCCAAAATATTGCCTCTACTTCTAGTAATATGTGAAACAGTTTATGAACAGCATGTTTTAATATAGTGCCGGATCAGTTTGCCAATATTTTACATAGATATTTGCATCTATGTTCACAGGTAAGTTTGGCCTACAGTTTTCTTTTCTTTTCTTTCTTTTTTTTTTTTTTTTGCTTGTACAAAAGGTCTTTATTGGTGGGGGGAGGGAGGCTACAAAGCAGCACCGAGGAGGAGAGAAAAGAGGGGAGAGAGATAAGAGAAGAGAGAGAGAGAGAGTAGAGAAGAGCGAGGGGGAAGAGGTGTAAAAGAGAGAGCTACAGTTTTCTTTTTTCATGGTGTAAGACTGGCTTTCATCAGTCTTTCATCGAAAGGTAAGAGGACCTCCATCTTTTGTGTGTCCGAGACATTTTGCATAAGACAAGTTACCTGTTCTGCAACTTCGATAGTTCTTCATAAAAAGTCTTGTGTCTTTTTGTGGGGTGCAGAGTTTTGATGACTCATTATGTTTCCTCTATAATTATTAGTCATTTATGGATTGTTACCTTTTTTTGAGTAAGTTTTTGGAAATTGGTGCTTTTCTAGACAATTACGCATTTCACTTGGCATTTCAAATTTCTCGGTATTTAGTATTAGGTAATAGACTCTTATTTAAAAGTTTTCCTCTATATCTCTTATGGCCTTCTTTCTGTTTCCTTGGGTTGATTATTTGTGTTTGATTGAAAAAGAGACAAGACAGAAAGGAAGAGAGAGAGAAGTTTTTTCTAGGAAAACATACAGATTTGTCTGTTTTATTGGCCTCCTCAGAACCAGATTTTGGTTTAATTAATCAATATGTTTATTTTCAGTTTTTTTGTACTTAGTTAACATATGCCCTTATTTGCATTTGTTTATTATCCTTTTACTTAAGTTAAAGTCTTGGGTGATTTGTTTTTAGTCACTTTTTCTAATAAAGACATTTTAAAGCAATCATCGAGTTTGCCTGTGGTGATTAAGCTTTGACAACAAACCTTTTTGGCACTTCATTTTCATTTACTTCTAAATAAGATGGAAGTTTAGTTTTTATTTCACTTTTACCCCAAGAAATACTTAGAAGAATATTTTCAAATTTCTAAGTGGATGGATTTTTT